TGTGAGGGGGCAACCCCCCGGAAAAAAAAAGGAGGGGTGCGTGTTCTAAATGACAACACATGGTAATGCGAGAAAAGTGAACAAATTAAAACAGCCACTGACCAAGAAGAAGTAAGGATGCAGGCATGGATAATGAGGATGAATGCTCTTCATATTTTCACCTTATCGAAGTTGACATTGGCGTGAGAGAAAAATGTGTCTGTGACCAAAGCATTGGGTGCTTTACTTGGCCATAAATTTTGCAACACGTAGTAACAAAATGACACGTGCCTGGCAGGATCACTCGACTCAGTCGACTGGGGATGGTGTCTGCAAACTTGCAGGCTAAGGGACGTTACTCCACAACCTGCAACTTGTCAGATGCTTATCCCATCCCGGCGCCCAACTCACCATCAGATTCGCTCTGTCTCAAATAATTGAGGTGAACATCACACATAATTGAAATGGTCGCTTAGGGCCTTCCAACACTCTCAAGTTTGCATTTGTCAAGAGGGAGGTGCTGCTCCATCAGCTCTCGATTCACAACTTGCGAAATCGGATGGACAGTTGCCACGTCTCAACAAATTAAGAGTTCTCAGCCTGTGCCAGTGTACGGACGGTCGGACGGCCATACGTCCGGACAGCCACCCCCCGTACGGAGCTGCCAGGGGCTGGAGGGGGTTTGCCGGTGGGTTATTGGTACCTTGCGGGGGGTAGCGCGGGTGGCACGGAGCCCCCTGCAGTTTTTTTTTTTGTTTTTTAATTTGGGTGAAAATTGAAAAAAAAAGTTGATGGATTGATTGATTGGTTGATAGCAATTATAAAAAAAAAAGCCTGCTTCTGCTTAGAAAAAGTCGTGCATATCACCACGAGGTCGTGTGAGGGAGGATGAGTGCTCCCTTTGTCTCTGTCCGTCTTTATGAACACGTGTGCGTGAGAGAGAGAGAGAGTGTGTGTGTGTGTGTTAGCAACCGTCCGCGCAGATGCTCTGGCTTGACGGCCGTGCGACGCTGTGACGCCCAAACCTCACACCGGGCGCGACTTCCTGACAAGGATTTTAGGAAAGTGGGGGTGGAGTCCCAGGTCGGAACAGAGATCTCCTGTGCGAAGTTTCAGGGATGTGCGTGCAAGGAGGTAGGCGAGGGACGGGGGTCGTGTTTTAGGCTTTGGGAAGCGGGGCAATCACCTTCGTTGGTCTCGCCGCCTGGGGCGGATCCGGATTCTGTGTACCGTAGGAACGCTTAGCCTATGGCTATCTCGTAGGTTCAATACCTGTCGCCAACGAGTATCGCAGGTTTCTGAATCGGACACGGCCAGGCTCAGCCGAAGGCTGTGCTCCCGTCGTTCAGCTTCTGAGCGGGTTCGCCGGATGAAGCCCGATGCTCGATAGGAGTGGTCCTGCAGGTACTCGGAGCATGGGGGTTGGGGCCAATAGGGGGCAAGGGCCTGCAAAGGCGCAACTATCAAGCAGTGAAAAGGCAATATGTGGTGATAGGGCGGGAATTTGGTTTCTAGAATAGCGATGTCAGGTCCAGCGACGATCTGACACGTGTATGGGCTGGGATAATTGGGGAGGTGGGGGATATGTTCCAAAGCGTGACCAATATCCCACTCGCAAATACGCTCAGTTCCCTTCGGGTATGGAAATTCCAGGTGCTCCACCCTCGATTGGGCAGACCGACACGCGTGCTCCCAGTTTCAGGCACTCGCGACCGACACGCGTGCTCCCAGTTTCAGGCACTCGCGGTCAGTGATCCGGAAAGCGGTTTCGATATTCATACCGCATACGTCCGGGGTGGTTGGTCGTGAGAGGGAAGGGGAAGGAGGGCTGGGTGGGGGGAAGGTCATGTAGACACTTATACGTGACGACCTTCTTCGGTCGGGCGTATGCATGGGTGCATAGGATCTTCCGTCGATCAGGTGGGGAATGGCTAGTAATCCAGTCTTGGGTACATATACATTGGCCAGTCGATCTGAAGATGTTACCAACAAACTTAGCACGAACCTGATATGGAATCAAGCGACATGCTCATGCCTACTACATCCCGACGGAGAAACGACAAACACTCATGCATCAAACTTCGATCATGCATGGACCGAGTGCAGATAATCAATCAATGAAGTTGACAATTCAAACGGAGGGAGAAAGGGGCGGGGAAAAGAATCACACATTGAAAGAAGAAAAAATCAAAAAATCACACATCATTTCAAAGAAGAAAAGAAGTCCGAGAATCGTTGACCCAAAAACAGGCGTCAAAATTACTCAGAAGAATAAAAGAAAAAAAATCATTCCATCACATCCTGTCTCTTTCTCTCTCTCTCTTTCTCTCTCACCGTCCCGATGCGGGCAGTCCGTCGCCTCGCACCTACATAAAGTTGTCACCCCTCTTGGTCTGAGCATGCAAGTCAGGTTCGCCCATCTGCCACAGTCCGTCGCAGCCACACGTCAAACCCGCATACCCAGCATAGGCCCGTCAGATCGCCCAATTCTCCCTACTCACCTTCTGCTCTTGCTTGTTAGTCGATCCACTTGACCGTACTCGATCGTGCTAACTCCAAAATAGTTAGGAGAGCGAGGCAATTTGGCGTGCGAAATTTATAGCATGATCGTTTGCGCGAGATACTCGGGATTGTGCCTGAGTGGGAGGGAAGGAGGAAGTGACTACGACTGCATGACTGGGCCGCGGCATGGTGGGTGTAGCCACACTCCACACATCGATCCAGTCATGCAACGTTTAGGCCAATAGAAGTGGGGAGAGTAGGCGTGTGCAAGGACGCAATGACGTTATCAAGAAGGAGGGGATTGCAATTACAGAGAATTGCAGTTACACGTCAGATTTAACGCACGGAAAAGTCGAAGCCCGCGTCCTGATGCAGCAAAGTGCGCGCAAGCAAGAAGCGTCGTGCATTTGCCGACAAAATTGCGATGCGCCCAAATTCCTAGCCTAGTTTAATTCCTAGTTGCAAAAAGAAATTTGAAAGAAAAAGGAAATTCCCAGAGCCCGCGGGGGCTGAACATTAGTTGAAAATTCGAAACAGCATTCCTGCGCGACGATCGCGCCAAAATTCTCATTCCCCACAGCAGAACAAGAAAGAAGTTATGACAACAGTTATTTTTCGCGCTCACTAAGGTGCGATCCACTACCAACCGTCGGTGGACCACCCCCTTTCTTGGAAAAAAAAAACGAGGGCATTCATGCAATTTGACGGGCTCCCCTTGACCAACCCCCGAAGTATCGTCGTGCAGAAAGTCGTGCGGTTACAAAAAACAGTTCGTCACAACGCTGCTCCCTACATCCCCCGTGCTCCCGAATGCTCTCCCTTCCCACGACCGACCCTCGTCACGACTCTTCCAATCAATCAATCAATCAATCAATCAATCAATCATCAAGCAATGAATCAATGAGTGAATCAATCAATCAGTCTTTCGTTTTTTTCCACCCCAACCCAAGTTTTTTCTTTCTATGTTTTCGATTTGGAGGGGTACCCCCCAATACCCATACCCCCTTGAGGCCTTCAATTTCCTCAGGCCCCCCCCCAGAAGGCTCCGCATACGGTGTCGACTGGGCCTCCTCCCACCCTTCCTTTCCTTTCTCTCTGTCCTCTTGAGCCCTTTTTGTCATCGCTTTCTTCCGGCCCCTACTCCCGGGCTAGGGCGCGAGCGGCTTGTTATAGCGGAGTGAGGGAATATCTGATGGTCGCAAATGAGCCCTGCCCACGGTAAATGACCGAACATCCGGCCCGTTGCAGCCTTCCGGAGCTGGGGCGAGGCCTACCACCAACTCAGAAACA